TTAAGAGACAATAATTATTTACATTGGTGTTTTGTAGTTTCAATGTATTTAAACAATACTAGCCTAGTTTAGTAGACCACTGCCGTCGTTGTCGTCGTCGCCGTCATTGCCTCCGCCTCCCCACCACCCCATAATAAAAACTTAATTTGTTTTCGACAAAAAATTGAAGTTGGTTGTCTCGAAATAAAGAAAAAAACAAGTGGGGGGGAAGGCAGGAGAGAGCAGAAATAAGGTAAGAAATGAGCAAGCAATAAAAAAAAATAGAGGAAACGAACATGAAACACGAATTCAAGTTTCAACAACAAACCACAATAAATAACTGAATGGATGAGAGAAAAAAACTTTACATTCAGTAGAGAGATAGATGTATGATAAAAAAAAATGCTGTCAATCAAAGAAAATAAAAAATAAATGATAGAAATTATTATTATTATTATTATTATTATTATTATTATTATTATTAAATCTTACTTTAATTGAATACCAAAAAAATTAACTTCAGAGCATAGAAATGAAACCATCAAACTAGAGCAAGGCAACTTATATTAATACCACAAGCTTTTCTAAGATAGATAACTATTGAAAACATGAAAGGACTGGATGTAGGCTGTCTTATCCTAGTAGGCGAGTCATCAGGAAGTAGACTACTGGTAAAGCGGCTGAGATAACTAGTATGCAGTGTGTAGTTTCAACAAGAGAAGTGACTACCGTAGAGAGAGGAGTGTTAGATTCAGGGTGTATGGCATGGTTAGATTATTTTGGGAACTAGAAGACATGTGAACGAAGACAGACAAGAATCTGCTTGTTTTGTAAATAGAAGTCTGAAGATTAAATGCACTCATTTTGGCCAATAAATTAAATCTAGTTTATACCTCTTCATTTATTATACCACAACCTCATCCATCACAAAGAATCAACTTCTAAACTATCCGTGTTGCCCAAGAACACTTAACTTTAAACCAATAGGCTGTCATGTAGTGGTGTTTATGTCTAAGTTAAATCAATTATTGATGTGAGCGAATTCATCACAACAGACATAATTAAACACATTTAGTCGCGGCTCATCATTAGAACTCCGGGAGTTATATCTTTAAAGCTAGTGACCAATCAGTGAACAGATGATAATTATCATTATTACAGTGCTGTTACTTGTTTATATTTGTTCGGAAGTCACGAGGCAGATGCTCCTCCTCACAACCAGAGCAAGAAGAAGTCTCAGGACGGAGTAAGTTACAGAATACTGGTCGGCGGCCTATGCTCCATGAGCTGTAACAGACGTAAGTAGTATGTAAGTGGCGTTCAAATATATCATGTGTGAAAATGTTATGTACCGCATGCAACGAAAGACAGTTTACGCAGTATCATGAATTAATCAAAGGTAGACATAAACAATGGTTCAGAGATTAACTGTTCTAGAGCGAGAATGAAATTCCTGGTTCCAATTCCCATTGATGGGATCGATTTTTTCACATCGTTAAGCAATCTTATACTCGAATGAAATTGACATTCAGTTTTTTTTTTATGATTTACGGCTCCAACTATGAGATTATTTATTAGATGCTTGGAAATCATGAATCGATCAATGTTAGACCAATATTAGAAACCTGGAAACACTGGACAGCTGTTTCGTCCTGATATGGGACTCATCAGTGGCTGCACGCATCCATAACTCCTTCTCCTCGTAGGAATCGAACTGAGGACCTTCACACTCTTGTTCATGGACACTTAACCTTTAATAATCAAAATAATCAGATGATGTGTATATTCGAAAATGCCAGTAAAGTGTATCCATTATTTAGAATTCACTATACAAATCTAATTGAAATTCCATGGAATATTCTGATTTCCTACTGTAAATACGCAATATATAAAAAAAATCTTGTAAAATATATATCATGTCAATTTGGTTTAATCTCTTCTGAAATTATTCATGCTTTTTTCGGTACAAAACATTTCAAGTCTTCTTCATAAACACGTCATTACTATTATTATTATTATTATTATTATTATTATTATTATTATTATTATTATTATTATTATTATTATTATTATTATTGAGACAGGTGTGATCTATGCTCCATGTTCTTGGATTAAAAAAAACAAAACGAAATGAATAATTAACGTCATTTTTTTTATTATTGGATTATTACTATATTTAGTATTGTTCAATATGAATAAAACTTATTTTTTAATCAGCTGTTCATTACACCATGTATTTTTTTAATACATTAAGCTCTGTAGATTGTGTGTGTCTGTGTGTGAGTGTGAGTGTGTCCTTTATACGAACATGAGAATAAAAAAAGCATACGAAACAGTATGAATAAGAAGACATACACACACACACACACACAGAAAGAGACACAATATGACTAGACAGAAATAATGCTTCAGGGTGTGTTTTTAATCAGTAGTCTGTGAAAAATAAAACAAAACAAAACAAAAGAGAAAACCACTTCATAAGGATAAGTGAAAATATTATATTTATTGAAAGTAATCAAACTTATTAGAAGTAAAGAGCAAGACATTCACAGAGTTAGTTAGTTAGGTGAAGAAAGAATTCAAAAGAGAAATGTCTGTTGCTTCTTTTCGATGAATGCTTCCTTTTTATCTTATCACTTCATATTTTATCATACTTTTTTAAAGTTTATATGCTTAAGTGTACACTATTTGTTTGTTATTTTATAGAACATGTGTTTATCATACAATAATAATCGTTTTTTCACATTTTTGAAATCATTAATCAATGATTGTTAGACCACACCATTAGAAACCTGGAAGCACTGAAAGACGGCCGTTTCGTCCTGGTATGGAACTCCAGTAGTGGCAGTGCGCATCCACGACTCCTGCACCCGACAGGATTCGAACGCCGGGGACCTTCGGTATTGTACACGAATGCTTAACTTCTAGGGATCACTGGGTTGGCATCCAACGGTGTTCATGTCTAACTCTGATTGATCTAGAGATTTTGCGCGACCTCATCCATTTGTCTTTAGTAGTTACTGCCTACACCCGATAAGGTTGAACTCCACTGGTCACGCACGGCTTCTCACTAGAACTGTGAGAATTTCCTCATGAAGCTAGTCACACTAGTGAGCACATTTTATGATATTTTCAATGAGAGTTATAGAGATTAGTGTTTGTTGCGCATCTGAAATAATCAATCAAACATTGTTAGAGCACTAGGTTTCTAATGGTTTCAAATGTGTAAAAATACACTAATCTCCATAACTCTAATTGAAAATATAGTGATAATCTGATTGGTAATTACATAGTTTACATCATGGCAGCAATCTTCGACAAGTAGTTGAAACCAAAAGTCAGTGAATAGATGAAAATGCTTTAAGTCTCAAAATGAACATGTCTTTTAGGTACAGAGGCTTCCAAAATGAAGAACATACAAAGTACACTATGTTAAATTCAATGGTACTTGAAATTAATCAAGGCCTAGTATAATCGAGCTCTGGTTCTGTTTGTAATCTTCCGTATCTATGAGCCGCTGTAATAAGTCAAAGAGTTGTATTGATGGTTGTGATGTACATTCCACCATGAATTACTGTCCAGTATTCATCTGCCTCCTTGGAATATGTCAATACTGGAGAAATGCATTTCAATGAAGCTCTGGACAAAACCGAGTTATACACATAGCTCCTTTTTTGCGAACGATTTGGATTTCCGACAACTTCTACAGCAAACGATCCCCATACGTGGTTTCTAATTCCGATGGAGAATGGCAGAACATTGCCCCTTTGGAATTTTGGACACTATAATTGAGAGATTCCGGTAATGGAAACGCTACTCAAGTTTAAAATCACCTGTAACGGTGACTACACTCAAACTTGAATCTGTAGTAGCAGTAGAGTGATTACTCGATCCCATTGCTATAAAAACGTTTGTGATCAAATGCATTATGGATTTTTTTATAAATATTGAATCCATACTAACCAGTAAGATCACTTTTAGAACTGTGAATATGTTTAGACGGCAAATTTGAGTAGTGCAACGGAGGAAGGTGTGAAAAAATTTTCTTAAGTGTGTTTAGGTTGGTGGGAATACTAAATTTTTTAAACCGACTATTTACTTACTTACTTAATTAATTAATTACTTAATTACGCCTGCTACCACTCAGGAAACGTGAGCCGCCGACCAGCAAACTATTTTTTTCTAGTTAACGTTTTTTTATAGCGTTGGATGACTACGGGACAGTGTAACCAACCCCATGTCCAAACCTCCTCCTTTATCCAAACTGTGGACCATCAATAACCCTAGAAGGACTCCAGGTGGAGTTAATTTTTAAATCGCAATAGGTGTTATAGTTATTCAAACTTTTAAACATGTTTATTGCTACATCATAGTTACCAACTTCCTTTATTGTTATCTATTAATGATTTAATTACGTAAGTTAATAAATTATTTTTTTTTAATTGGTTAATTTTATTTCATATCATCATTGTAATATCTGTTTAACTAAAAACCAAAAAAAACTCAAATTATTATTTTTTATCTTCTCATATGTCACACTACGACTACTACTACTACTACTACTACTACTACTACTGTGGTGTGAGCTCTTATAAGTAGTATATGACGTGAGTGTCAACGTAATGTCTGGCAGCAGAAGATGGGGGAAGATCAAGAAAGGAAGAGTTAGAAAACAATGGAATTTGTATGAAACGCATGAATAAGTGAAATGTCAGACAATGGATTGATGTTTGACAACAGGAACAGTCCAGTTCGATATGACAGACTGATATTTTGCAAATGAACAATTTACGATATGGTTTTCCGATTTTAATGAGTAACTCTGTAACTCTAGTAGCAGTACTAGTAGTAGTACAAGTACTACTACTACTACTAGAACTACTACTACTACAAATACTACTAAAACTACTACTTCTACTACTACTACTACTACTACTCCAACTACTACTACTACTAATACTAATACTACTACTACTACCGCCACTACTACTTTATATTACTCCAACTACTACAACTATTAGTACTACGACTACTACTACTACTACTACTACTACTACTACTACTACTACTACTACTACTACTACTACTACTACTACTACCACTACTACTACTACCACTACTACTACTACTACTACTACTACTACTACTACTACTACCACTACTACTACTACTACTACTACTACTACTACTACTACTACTACTACTACTACTACTACTACTACTACTACCACTACTACTACTACTACTACTACTACTACTACTACTACTACTACTACTACTACTACCACTACTACTACTTTATATTACTCCAACTACTACAACTATTAGTACTACGACTACTACTATAACGACTTGTATTGTATATTGTTTACATAATATTTGCAGAAAAACATATTGTTTATGTATTTTACAAAGAAAAATTTACTTGATTATTTCATTTTTTTTGTCTATTCTGATTCTTTTTTCTTATCTTCTTAATTTTTCTCCATAACATTGTCATAGTAACAATAAGTGTTTATAGTAATGTATCTTTAGCCCAAATGTTTTTTTTCTAATCAAGTAACAACAAACCAAAAAAATAAAATAAAATAATAAATAAAAAATACAATAACATAAAATGATATGATTCACATTATGGTTCGCTTATATGTTTTTTTCTATCTGGTCAACAATTACAAAAGTAGAATTGAGTTCACACGACTTCAGCAAGTTCACAACCGATAAGATATATGAAAAAAAAGAGAACAGTTTACATTTAATCTCTAGATCAGTCAAAGTTAGACATGAACACCGTTGAACGCCGGCTCAGTGGTCCAGATGTTATGCGCTCACACGCAAGACCAAAGGTCCTGGGTTCGAATCCTACAAGGTGCAAGAGTCATGGTTGCGCACTTCAACTGATGAGTCCTATACCAAGACGAAACGGCCGTCCAATGTTTCTAGGTTTCTAGTAGTGGTCTAGCAACGACCGGTTGATAATTTCAAATGTGTAAATTACATTTAATTAACGGAATACTGTTTTTTCAAGGTAATTAAGTTTGACTTAAAATCAGAAATACGCTTGAAAGCCTTGCATAGCCTTCTCGTCCTAGCTATGGGCTCTACAAGTGTGGTGTGAGCTGCTTATAAGTAGTATATGACGTGAGCGTCAACGTAATGTCTGGCAGCAGAAGATGGGGGGGAAGATCAAGAAAGGAAGAGCTAGAACACAATGGAATTTGTATGAAACGCATGAATAGTGACAATGGATTGATGTTTTGCAACAGGAACAGTCCAGTTCGATAGGATGAACTGATATTTTGCAAATGAACAATTTACGATATGGTTTTCGGATTTTACTGATTAACTATGTAATTTTCGTTAAATACAATTCGGTTGCCCCACCTGTTTTCCTATTCACTACACCAGTAGTACACATCCATAACTCCCGTACGTTGGAATCGAACCCAGGAGCTTTGGTCACTTGCACAAACGCATTAAACTCTAGACCACTGAGCAGGTAGGTATCCAACACTGTTCATGTCTAACTTTTCATCTAAATCCAAGGTAATTCTTCAGTTTACGCATAAACAGATTCCAACTATTTTTTTTCAACACTGTGTTTATTGTTTATAAGCGAGTAACAATATTTCGACAGGAAAAAAAACTATTTTAAATTATGATAACAATAATAATAATAATAATATTAGTATTATTATTATTCAAAGTTTGCATGAACGTGCTTAAAAATAAACAATTTACATTGTACAAAAAAGTTTGGGAAATTAATTCGGGGTAAGGTGTTAGTGACTACAGCTTACTTGCAAACTTTCTCATTAGTTTGCATCTCAAAACTTTGACAAGAATAAACAAATAAGTTTACAGTTTTTTACAAAGTAAACACTATTTTTTTTTTTAGTTTATGCTTTAAATGTCAAACACTAATGGGATACAATTTAATATGAGAGATATACATACCCTCATTGTGATATCGGGTAGTCGTGACAGAGTCATAGTTTCACATTAGAACTTAGACAATTACTATACTTTTTTAACTAGTGAATGAATATACTACATACAATCACGATTTAGATATACAGTTTTCTGGGGGGGGGCAAAATTTCAGAACCAATATTGAATAATTGCATTGTGTTTGAATACTAGGCTTGTAAAAAAGAAGGCAAGAATGAAGACTAAAGCTGGAAAAGCAAAATTCATTTCATTTCAACAGGTTTTCATCAGCACGCCCATAACTTATTTTAGAATGAAGATTATGATGTTAATATATACTTACAACAATAAAATTGGCTGAGTATGAATGTGTATCATTGGATTCTAAAAAACATATCTTCTCCGAGTTCTAGTGGGAAGACGTGACCAGTGAAGTTCAACCTGTTCGAGTGTAGGTAGTGTCTACCGAAGACTGTGTATCAGGGTGCGCAACTCCGTGAATTTGATCAAGTTAGACATTAACACCGTTGGATACCGGCTCAGTGGTCTAACGGTTAGGGCGTTCGCGCACAATACTGAAGGTCCTGGGGTGTAGGAGTCGTGGATGCGCACTGCCACTGATGAGTCCCATACCAGGACGAAACGGCCATCCAGTGCTTCCAGGTTTCTAATGGTGATCTAACATTGATCGATTCATGGTTTCAAAAATGTGTAACTTAACAATCTTCACAACCCTGTAATGCATATCTCAATAAGTCTTAGGTTCGTGAGAATTATGCCTTTTTGCAGCCCTGTTTCAAAAAAATCTCTTTGGTACAGAATATTGGCGTGATATGCTAAAATTCTTCAAGTTCACCGAAATATAATTGAATTTAAATTTGTAGAAACTATCGCAATCAAACATTTCAAACTGGACCTATGTATTCAAAAAAAAGAAACTGTGATTAAATCTTTCTTTACCGTGGTGACGGTATCATCTGTCTATCAGGATCATTCTTTCCAAATCATTCTCTGATTCTGATTGCATCACTCTCTTCAAGTTTATTGTTCTATTTTTAACTGACTGATCTCAACTCATCGTGTTTATGATTACGATTGATTTGTGTTCATCTACTTACTGTATTACATAAACAGTCAAGTTCTCCTTTAGCTGTATGATCTCTTGTTACCATGACAACTGATCCAGCATCTTCTTTTGTATACTAGATTTATTTACAACATTGTTTCTATAGCGTGGATTTCATTGCATTTATGCGAATCATCTTACTACACCATGACAATACATATTCACATGTAATCAGCTTCACCACATATCAGATACTTTAAAGATTGTAAGCAGCTGATGAGAATCTAACGAAATGTGTTCGCACTTTGAAACATATTCCACAAAACGTTTTTAACAGTATAACTGCTTCTTATTTGCTTGATAATTGGCATAATGTTGCAATCTTTTGAAATCTTTCAAACTAATCAATACACAAGTGAATTCAAAATTGTTACACTTTGCCGAATCTGCTGTAATAAAAAAATTATTTGAACACCATTTATGCATTCAAAAGGATCAATGTTAGACCACCATTAGAAACCTGGAAGCACTGGACGACCGTTTCGTCCTGGTATGGGACTCATCAGCAGCGCGCATCCACGACTCCTCCACCTCTCAGGATTCGAACCCAGGACCTCTGATATTGTAGGCGAACGCCTAACCATCGAACCATTGAGCCGGTATCTAACGGTGTTAATGTCTAACTCCATGAACTGATCAAGTTAGACATTAACACCATCAGATTCCGGCTAAGTGGTTCGCCTGCAATATCAAAGGTCCTGGGTTTGAATCCTGCAGGGTGCAGGAGTCGTGGATGCGCATTGCCACTGATGAGTCCCATACCAGGACGAAACGGTCGTCCAGTGCTTCCAGGTTTCTAATGGTGATCTAACATTGATCGATTCATGGTTTCAAAAATGTGTAACTTAACAATCTTCACAACCCCGTAATACAAACATTCAAAATAAAACAATTATCAACGTCATATTGATCCGTTGACTTTATTTTTATGAAATTATTCTGCTGAGCTTACTTCTCTTCATGAATTTTAATTACAATTTCTAATAGCTTCATTCTTACTTTTGAGTATTATTCAACTAGTCTGTATTACATAATCTATCTTCAGTTTCAAGGAAAAGTTCTTCTTTCATGCTGTTCTAGAATATTCATAAATTTCACCTATAAGTGAGTCAACTTTTAAACAATGTTAATTCTTCCTGATTATTATCTTTTAATAATATTCTCTCTCTCTCTACATATGAATTCAATTTAGCGTAGAGGTTCTCAACATAAAACATGTATATGTGTGTTTATTTTCAAGATTTAATACTATGGTTTTACCAAACCAAAACATGGCAGAAATCCATGAAGTCACTGACAAGTGGACTTAGCCATGTCGGTAGTTGTCGACTACCTTGTTGGGGTCCGCGAGATGATAATAATCGATGGTTAGATACCCTGAATGATATGGCTCAAAATCGTTTGCAATGGCGCAGGTGCATTCATTCTTTGTGTTCTCTCAAATCTTAATCTTCTGGATTCTTCAACTCATCTAGTTTTGACTTTCTAAACTTTTGTCACTGAATCTATACTTCTTGAATAATATCTTCTCATCCTTACCTCTCCGATTACTTCTAATACCTTTACTACCACTTCTACTATTGGATTTGAATTGAAAATTATATCTCTTTGCTGATGTGGTATGGCAACATGAACTGACGTACTTACGTTCGATGTTCTACGTTGCATCTGACTGACTGACTGACTATGGTCTTAAGTTGTAAGTAACTAGAACAGTCAGAGTTAAGCATGAACATCATTAGTTGCCGGTCTAGTGGTCCAGAGGTTAGACGTACGCGTACAAGACCGAAGTTCCTGGGTTCAAATCCTGCGGGGTGCAGGATTTGTGGATGCGCAATGCCACTGTTGGAGTTCCATGCCAGGATGATACGGCCATCTTTCAATGCATCCTGGTTTTGAATGGTGGTCTAACAATGATTGATTGATAATTTCAAATGTGTAAGTAGTTAAGAGAAATCAATGAAGTAGTTGATTTTATGTTATGCTGTAACGATATTTGTTAAGGAATGCTCAATTGTTTATTTTTACTGTTTTTTAATATAATAAACGAAACTATGTATGAACTTGTATTATACTATGTTTTATTTAATAACTATTTGTTACAAAATCCAATATTATGATGAAGCTTAAGTACACACAATTATAACTTGAAAAAAGTAATATCTTTCAATAATTACATGAATCATTCGATTTAATTATTACTAATATAAGACTACTAGGATGCTATTTAAGTAGTATATTTGATAAAGTTGTTTATTATGATTAGAAAGTT